CCTTAACAGAGTGAATCTGTGAGCCTTGAGGAAGGTAATCGGCGGAAAGTGTTTCCATATCTCAATGGACATTAACCGATGGAACTTTTTCGGTCACTTGTTTATTTTTGGGTTTTTTGCTGCAGTGAGTACAACAGTACGTATGAGCATTGTTATAATTTCAGATAACTTTTAGATCGACGATTGTCGTTTGTTACATTGTTTGCTGGCTGCTGGCTGCTTGCTGGCTGCTTGCTGCTTTTGTGGTTTGTTATTATGCAAATTTTGGCCAACAAATGCCACGGAAAAGCAACAAAAAACACACACACAACGCTGCTGAAGCTGTTCCTTCTCTTTTTGTGTGTTGTTTTTGTGGGTTTGAATTTTAATTAATGTTGCGCATACGCTGCGGTGTATACCCTGCAACTCCCATGCCTCATCCCCATCCCATTCGATCCCATCCCGAGGTGTGTTCGAAGCGGCTGCCGAGCAAAAAGTATGCCAAGTAAATACAGTTTTTCAAAAATTAAATAATGAGCACATTTGCTTTTGCTTTTTCTTTTGGGTTGTGTTTTTGTTTTTTTTTCTCTTCTTCGACTGCTTGTTTTTAGTTGCAGGCAAAGTCTAAACACTTTCACTAAGCAGCAGCACAGACGGAAAAAAATCCCAATCCACCAAAGGCTACACGAATTTCGTGTCGTACATGACAAACTCCCTGCTCCCTCGACGTCTCTGTCGCTGTCTCTGGCCCAGGGGGGGGCTGGCTGAAGGGGGGCTAAAGAGTTGCCCTGTACTGCAGGAATGTGGGGGGAGTTGTTGTGCCGACGATGGAGATGCTAAACGGATTCAGAGACAGCGTCGTGGTGACTGCAGAAATGGAAGTGGAAGTGGGAGGACAACAACGAACGGGCTCAAAATGGTTGATGCGGATGGCTCATCTTATGCCTGGCCAAGTGCCACAAAGTACACCTGCAAAAGGGTGTTTTCCCTACCAATATGATGGCTGAATATAATCTTAAATGTTCCAAAGATATTTTAAAATCGTTGGCACAACAACATCTGGCTGCATTGACTCTGATTATGGTGCATTTTACGTTGCAGCTAATCATAAGATTTGGCAAAAGATTTGTTCTTTAATTGCTGAATTTATTAAACTATACCTAAAATGAAGTGAAGAAAATGAATACAGTAGGGGGAGAGTATCATCAGATGATGATGAAGGAAAGGAGTAAACAAAGATACCATCGAGTGCTTTGAGAGAGTTAATTGCCACTGGTACTGGAATGATGATGGGGGGGACTGGACACTGATGAGACTCTGTGGCGAGTGGGACTCTGTGGCGACATTGATTAACGAGTGCTTAGTTAGAGCGGCACTCAGACACGCGCTGCTAATGCCACAATGCCACCAGACACATATTTGAGGATACAGCAATGATACAACAGTCGACAACCGACAACCGACAACCGACACCCAACAATCATCAACGATGGACCACAGCAGCAACAGCAAAAGTCAACAGCAATTGCTCGCCACAACAAAAGTGCAATAATAATTTTCTTACTCTTGCTCTCCCTCTCCCTCTCTCTCTCGCTCTCTCTCTTCACCCTATTTTATGCGCTTTTGGTTTTTTCTTTCGCATTTTTATGATGAATAATTGAATGGGCTTCTAGGAACTAATTTCAAGAGAAGAAAGGAGAGAAAAGTACAAAAAAAAAGGAACTACATATTTCGAATTGTTTGTATTTTTTTTTTTACCTCATATATGTGTGTGCCAGTGTGTGTGTGAGGTGTATATTGGAACACATTCGATCAATTTATAATACAAAATTAATAATGAAAACTATAAATATAAACAAAATAAGTTAGATGAAAAGTATTTAAAAAAGCTCCACAAATATTACTGCTCCCTCTTAGTGGTGCGTCGAAATATTTATAGGATATCTCTTGGGCGACTACAATCTTGCTTGGCAATTTTTTGGCTGTGCTCTCCAGGCATCTGTATAAATACTTTGAAGTGCTGTTTTTTAATTGCAAACCCACGTACCACCCCCCCACCTGATGATTAATTTTTGGACAGCCCGAACAAGGCAGCGCGAAAGGGAGAAGCGAGAGAGAGTATGGGATGGGATGGGAGGTACTAGATCAACAACAGTAAAGAGCTTTGACAGCTTTAAGTATACGCATTTATTTCGAATTTATTTCAAGTTAGTCTGTTGCACTCTGTCTGCTCTGCTCTGTGTCTCTGTCGATGATCGAGAAATGTAGAATGGAGGTAAGTACCTATACATATATTCGCATTCTATATGGAAACCTACAGCTGCACACAATGTGCGTGTCACTGGGCATTGACCCAAGCAACTCGGCCACTAAAATGTTTCCAGAGTACGCATCTCTGCATGAACCAATGTCAGATGGTTGTTGCTGCTGCTACTCTATGATGATTTGTTGCTCTTGAACTCGTGCTGTGGCTGTGTGTTTTGCAAATTTAATTTAGCTGCAAATGCAACAACTGTGGCTTATCCTTTTGCTCTGTAGATAGCACTAACTTTTGCTAGTTTTTAAAGAAAAATTCTTTGCTCTACTCTGTAGTTAATTGTTATATTAATTATTATTATCGAATGTGTCTTCTGCTCGTATTTGGATTGTCCTAAACATGGTTTTTAGTTACATTTCTGTTAGCATTCTGATCCGTTGTTTCTGTTGCTGTTCGAGCAAGGTTTCCGTTGATACCTCTAAAAGATATCTCTCTAGATACTTTTACTTACTCCCCCTATAGCACCATTGTAGCTTTAGATGTCTCTAGAGATCCACCAAATACGTAATTAATACCCAAATGGCTATTCGCTTATTTCCTGTATTCTGCTTACATTTATTTTTGCATCAACTTTGCCCTTTTTCTACAGATTTAATCTTAAACAAAAAATAATATAATATAAATATAAATATAAATATAAATGGATTGAAATTCGTTTATTTTTGTCCCGTCCCGGTGCCCGTCAAGAGCAACTACAAATCATACTACTAGTGAGTCATTCCAATCCAATAGCAAATTACGCACAAAAATAGCTTCAACAACAATTTGGCAAGACACAACGAGTGTGGCAAACGGGCAGGTTATACCTAGGTATGGTGGGGTACGGGGAAGGTGGATATGGAATGAATCATCTGGCCAACGGCTGGTCCAGAGCACTGCAATTCCCCGTTCCGTTATGCACTCAGTTTGTGTGTTTTATGGTAGAAATATAAGTAGCAATAGGTTGGTATACGTTTACCCACATTTCAGAAGGACAACTCCTGTGGCATGTTGGTGTGGCAGACCCAAATGGCTGTGGCGCCTCAGCGATTGCTGGTGTTGCTGCTGCTGCTGCTGCTGCTGCTGCTGCTGCTGCTGATCCAGAGCGGATTTAATCAATTGAAATGCCATTCTGTCTCTCTCTCTCTCTGTGATGTGTCTCTTTCTAGTCATGGATCATCGGGAGGTCGTACAGCAATTGCATCACTTTTACCCGCTCTCGTATCACAGCTAATTATAGCCCGACGACGCAAAGACGCACATTAATAATTTGGATGGAATTTTTAAACAAATCGCTCGCTGATTAACTGAACATTTTCGGCCGGGGCATTATTTATAAATCAATACAGCCGAGTGCGAGTACAAATCAAGTGTCAACGCCTCCCCTCAAAGCTGGAAGCTGTAGCTGAAGCGAAGGGAATCACCCAATCCCAATCACAATCACAATTTCTCAGTGTCTTTTTTGTTGTTGCTGTGTTTTGTGGAGTAATCAAAAGATAGCCGCACAGACACACACAGCTACAGGAGATACTCTCAGGCAGAGTGCACAGACACAGGTGATTTAACAATTAATTAAATAATATTTGTCATCCACTTGCACTTGCAAAAAGCACCAAACAAAATTGTCAAAGGAATTAAAGTTTATGTTTTGTTTTGTTTGTGGGAACCGGCGAGCGCGCGCGACTCGAAAGCAACTGGGAAGCGAATGGCACACAAAAAAAAAAAGCATGCGGCATGCCCGACAAGATCGATTCTACTGAAAACCACATCCACAACGAATGCCGAGCGTGAATGTGAATTTGAATAGAGCCCCCAGAGCTCGAGTCAGAGCCAGTGCCAGAGCCAGAGCCAGAGCCAGTCAGGCAGTGAGTCCGCGAGTCCGCCAGCAGCGAAAAATACAACCGAGCAAACCGAATGCGAGGGTTCGTCCAAGCACTGGGCAAAAGAAAAAGCAAAAGCAAAAGCAAAAGCCATACAGCAGAGCAGAGCACAGCACAGCCACCAGAGCATGTGCCACACAAAAATCATGGATCGTTGGGTTGGCTGTCAGTGCCGCCTGCCTCCCTGACTGCCTCCCTTCCCGCTTGCTACGTTGTGCATGCCAGTGAGCTGCTGATAAAAATAAAAAAAAGAACAAACTGCTGCCATGCCAAAGGGGATCCGTCCGGGGGGGCCAGGCAGGCAGCCGCGATAAGATGGTACGGAAAAATGAAAAATGTGCTCCAGTTGCCTCCCTCCATTACGAGCAACTGGCGGCATCTGTGGGGCATGGCCTGAGCATTGCCCAGCGATCAAGCAGCAGCGACATCTGTGAGACGCGCAAGCAAAACATGAAAATAGAAGCGACGACATCTACCGCTTTCGGGTTGAACGTGCAGACGCCAATCGCCACTACGCGGTCAAGAGTTTCTCTAAAACAACCAACAGATGGCGCTGTTGGAACTATGCCAAGCTAAAGAATTTTTTAATGTGTTTTCCACATAAAAACGAAACCCTAACTAACCAAAAATAAAGATTAACTATTGCTAAAAGCACTGGGGAATAAAGTTAAAAGCTAAAAACGGATGGGGTCATTGCTTAGGCACACTCTATACAGAAGCACCATCTGTAGGTGGGTAGCAGCAAAAGTGCTCAACAATAGATGGAATAGATGGCGCTAGTTCCCCTCCAGATCTAGAGGGTGCTGAGTCTCAGCTCGATTAATTTAAATTTGTTGTCCACTCACCTTGCAGACCCGCATCATTGATGCTCGATGTGGACGTCGAGAATCCGGGCAGCTTACGCCAACCCTTGCGGTTCCAGAAGCTGCGCGCCTTCGACTCCGTTGCCGTTGCCACAGGCGTCATGAGCTGTACACCCGTTCTATGATTAAAATTTAGATGATGATTTGGTCCTGGATCCTCGGCAGCCCTGATGCGGGCGCAGCTGAGTATGCGTCGGCCGCAGGAGGCGCGCGTCAGGAAGGTGCTGCCGCTGCCGCTGCCGCTGCCCACGCCCATGCCCGCCTCATCGTAGACAGTGGCTGCCCGCTGAAAGGATCGACAGCTCTGTGTGGCCATCGTGGACATTGTGGCGGAGGCTGTGGGCGTCTGGCGGGCGCACTTGATGTGCTGCGTTTTGGTGAGGCGCAGGCTGCCGATATAACTGGCGCCGCTGCTGCCGCTGAAGCCACTGTCCAGGTCGCAGGCGGTGCCCGTGCCCCCGGAGGTGGTGGCTGCCGCCGGAGCCGTCTTGAGCGTGGCCAGCAGCAGCTGCTCCACGCCGCCGCTTCCAGTTTCGCTGCTATCACAGATGTTGTCCGCCGATGTGGAGGCGAGTCGCGCCAGCAGCATTGACGGCTGTCCGCTGGCCGCCGTCACGCAGACAGTGGGCTTGGGGGGCGTGGCAGAGGGACAGAGGGGCGGGCCACTGTCTGTTGTGGCACTGCCATTGCCACTGCCTTCCCCCGTGGCACTGGGCTGCTGTGACACTTTGGGCGGACTCTCCGGCATGAGCATGGCCTCCACGCTGAGATTCAGCTCGCCCAGAATCTTGTGGTGGCGACTCTGCACCCGACGCTGTTCCTCCTCGACCAGCGTCTGATTGAGCGAACCCGCCGAATGGGAGCCCACAGCGCCCCTCAGCTGATGCTGCTGCTGCGGCTGCTGCTGCTGTTGCTGGTGGGACGATGGCTTTGGGATCATGGCCGAGGAGGACTGCAGGGCGGCCGCATTGATCTCCTCGTAAAAGTTCTCGCTCTGTCCCAGGCCCAGACGGGAGGCGGTGGCCAGCTTGTGGTAGCGCGTCTGGTAGGACTGCAGGGTGGCCGGGGAGACGAGCTGCTTGTTCTTCTTGCCCTTGGACAGCAGGGCGCGTATGGAGTTGGGCGGCGGCGGCTCGCTGGATGAGGACGAGCTGGAGCAGGAGGAGTTGGTGGATGTTCCAGCCGTTGCCGCAGACGCTGCTGACGCTGAGCCGGCACCGGCCTTGGTGGCTGCCGCCGCTCCCTCCGGCCGGGGCACATTCGAATGGCGCATGGCAGCTCCTGGCTCATAGTACGCGTAGGAGTAGTCATGGTGGACATGGTGCTGCAGTGGATGCTGCTGCTGCTGCTGCTGCTGCTGTTGGTGGTGCTGCTGGTGGTGCGTGTGGATCCTGCCGAGTGTCTTGCTCTGGCGCGCCGCCAGCTGTTTGAGGTGGTGCGGTGAGGTCTCCTGTTCGTTGCAGATCTCAATGGCATCCGGATCGGGATCCGGATAGCGGGGCAGCAGCTGTCTTCTGCCTCCATTCCGCTCCAGCAGCAGCGAGGTGGACACCCCGCCGGTTGCCGCCGAGGAGACTGCTGCTGCCGCTGCTGCTGCAACTGCAGCTGCTGCCGGCGGCGGGTAGTCCGGTGGCGGTGGAAACTGCAGACAGTGCTTAGCCACACCCACCCCGTGAATCCCCTCCAGCTGCTGCTGCTGCTGTTGTTGCTGTTGTTGCTGTTGTTGCTGGAGCTTTTGCTGCTGCTTGAGTCGCTGCAGCTGGGTCTGCTGCTGCGTGTAATAGTTCTGATTGGCGGGATGCTGATGCTTCATCTTCGAGTGGACCAGAACCTTTCCCAGGTGATGGCTGTGTCCTCCAACCACTCCCACTCCCACTCCTGCGCCCACTCCCACTCCCACACCCACTGGCACTCCCACACCCGCACTCCCGCTGGTGGAATTCACAGGGTTGGCAGTGATGATGCCCGTCGTCGGACCCGCGTTGGAGTTGCCGCTGTTGTTGCGTCTGCTTCCCAGGCCCAGGCTCTCCATGGCACATGGTTGACTCCTACTCCTCGCACTGCTTCGATCTGCAAAAGAAATAAGCGCACAAGTATTAATACTCATTGTGGGAAATTAAATCCCACAGCTCTACAGCCTTGTGGATTCTAAGAACGCTGTTAAAGCGAGTTAAGAGAGCGCGCCAACAGTGTGCTGTTATAGAGTGCAGCCTGTCTACTGCTTTTAACACATGGTCGGAGGGTTACAGTGCGCTGCAACTGGGCTGTTGGTGGAGAAGCATTAACAGGCTGTTAAACTGGGCTGCTAACAGCGCTGTTACTCTGTTACAGCTGGCTGCCATGTGACAGCTCAATAAACTTCTTTGTTAATGTTTACAGATTAGGCATCTCTGTGAGTCAAATAATCACAAAGTGGCAAACACAGAGAGCTTATATGTAGAGATGTCTGCTGTTATCTTTTCTGTCGAATCTATGTGGGATGCCAGAGAGACCAGCAGTAGAGTTAACAGAGAAAGTAACAGAGACGAAGTTAGGGACTAGAAGCAATCGCCGAGAGGAAAGAACCAGCCACAACGATCGAACAAACACATTACATGAGCTCAATTCTTTGTACTTTAAGTTCATTTAAGTTAAATATAAGCAAAATACAAAATAAATACATGGAAAGTAGATACAATTACTGTTACAGGCGCATCTTTTGGAGATCCCTTACTCTGCCAGATATTTGTTTAGTTTAGTTTAAATAATTACTGCTACCCATGATGCATAGACTTTTATCAGGAATCAAGGAATTTTAGTAGACATAGTTGTACACCTGCAGAAATGCCATCCCTGTCTCTCTTACTCTCTTCATGGAGTAGTATGTTGAACAAGAAATACAAATAGGAGCAGGTGCCACAGCGAGCCAGCCAGCCAGTCATTGGATGGATGGTTGGGTGGTTGGGGGTTTGGGGGCTTCCCGGAACTTTGACCGCTTGGCGGCACGCTCGAGTGCGGCAAGTAAATGCCGCATTCAGCGCTACGGCTTTTCAGCATGCCACACACAATCCACACATGTCGCTGTGATTAATTGCCGCTAATTCAACAAAGTTCCTGGACTCTAACTGCGACTCTGACTGCGACTCCGACTATGTTCCTGACTTTGACTCTGCCATGGCCAAAGGGTTTTTTCTCTACGTTTTGCTAAGGTTTAACTGAGCATTAATTTAATTGAAAAATAAAGCAGAAACAAGAAATACGTCTGGCTGGCTGATCCAAAGAATCAGGCAGGAGTGCCCAGTACCTGTACCCTGAAATCATTTGATGATGGATGAACAGAAAGTCAGATTTTTGTGCTCTTGCTCGTATGGGTACACAGTAAGAGTGTATCCCAGCCATAATACTGGACTTGGATCAATTTCAATGATGATTCATTCAGGTGTAAGGAATGATTACAGAAGCCTCGCATTCCAAGGACTGAAACTCGAACATGCAGCGAACTTACTTCATCTGATCACACTTTGTAGATTCCTTTTACATAGGTAAGAGAAGCATTCTTTGTGGAATGTGCCTGGCCACTTTTGTACCCGTATTCTCATCATAATTTCAGCTACTTTACTGTCGTCTAAGCAGCCACGAAGTCGGGCTGTGGCAGATGATATTTTCAGTGGTTTGGCAAGATTATTATTCAGATAAAGGACAGAGGGAGATAGGTAGGAGGGTAAGAAGATCATTATTAAAGGAATTAGTATGAAAGAAAGATGCTCATATGCTTGAGAGAATTGAAATGACTTCTAAAGTATGATTATGGGATTCAAAAGCCTCACTATCTATTAATTTTTTAATGTTAAACATTTTATCACACACTTCCCTTGAATTTACAAACTAAAATCATAATCAAATCATCTCCGAAAAGCAGTCTACTCCATAAAGTTCAACAGCTTTGAACACACATATCAAGTAGAATTCATTACTAAGCGACTACCAGTGGAAACAAATCCAAAACTACAAACAAAAACTGAGAAACAAAACTTCCTGCAGGTAAAAGAAAAAAAAACCCAAGTAAAATCGAATTTAAATTCATAATATATAATGAATCCCTCTAAATGCAGTTGCAGTATGCTGGTCCATGCTGAAAAGGTCCTGACTGTGGTGCAGGAGCACCGCAACACTCTAAAGTTTGCCTTGGCCTTTATACTGGCCATATTGATTCTGATTGAAGTGCTTAAGAAACCTGTGACTGGGCCTGTGCCTCGCCCCTCCCAAGCTCCGATGGCAGATGATCCACCAGAGACTCCTCCTAAGAACATGACTACCCAGCACCGATACAATTTGAGAAACACCCCAGCCCGTCGTTCCCGGACAGGTTACTGATTTTCATTTCAAAAAGTTTTCAAAATTTCAAATTTTCAGGATAGAAGCATCAATAAATTATAAACCCTTTTGGTGATTTGGAATACTTTTGAGAGCGTTTCATTAAAGACTTGAAGAGAGAATAAGTATTCCGAGCTTAAAAGAGAGTTGGATTTAGATGATCATTCAAACAGAACACGTTTTGTTTTGCCCGTGAATTATTATTTGCCAAGTGCAAGGTTCCATTCTACCTTAGCCCAGGCTCAACTGTACACCCGTAGAGCTTAAGCTGCCTGTAAAATGCCTGCTGATAAGGAATAGTATCAATCGGTTGATCGGAGACCTAGTTATGCCGGTGCCTGCATATGCCATATGCCATATGCTCGCCCCAACAAGGTCACGCAGTTCTCCCAAAGAAGCTCCTTCACGGGATAAAAAATATAATAAAGTTGACGATGATAATGCCACCGAAGTTACCCAGAGATTCTTTCAGCAGCAGCAGCAACCGCCGAAAGACAGAGGCGAAAAATGCAATTGGTAATTTGAGTAGATTTCAGTCGGGTTCTTTTTCTCTCTCTCTCGTTCGCGGCGGAGTAGGTGTAACCCGAGACGGAGGCTAAGAACTGGGCAACTGGGCAACTGGACACGAACGATCACGTTTGGCACACAGCAGGTCCCCAAATTAGCGTCTAAATTTAGCTACTCAACAAATTGAATCGAGCTTTCCAGCAGAGAGGGGCGGGCTCTCTCTCTCTCTCTGTCTCTTTTTGAGCTTCTTCTTTGTGCTTCTGGAATTACTAAAGCTCTCTGCGTGTGCACTTGAATCTGCAGCAGGGGAGATTAGGGTTTGGGGACGGACCACTGTGGAAACATCAAAAACCCCTAACGCATGGGGAGCATTGTCAACAGCCAGAGATACAACAAGCGGCAGGCGCAGCAAGAAATGAGTGGGCGTCGAGCAGGGAGCAGGGAGCAGGGGTGCAAGGGTAAGGCAGTGCGTCGGTATAGCAGTGCGGAAGGGAGTAAGGGTACTGCAGTGCACGATGGAGCGGAAAGGGACCCAAAGGTACAAGATTGAAAATACCAGGGGGCGTAGCACTCGAAACCTTGGGCACAGCACTCTTGAGGCTCTCCCTGGGCTCCCGTGGGTCCTAGCAACGGAACGTGGAGGGATGGGGGAGACCCTCTTGAGCTACCCCGTGCAGAGGGAAAACCGCTTCTTACCTCCGTCGGGATCCTAGGGTAAACTTTCTGTGCTGCACTGTTCTGTTGCCTTAAACAACATCCTTCCCATATGTACACCCGCACGTGGAATACTCGTATGTGCGTAAGCTTTCTGCCCCTTTCGTTGGTTAGTTTGCTTGCTTTTGTTGTCTCTCTACTCTCTGTTTTTCCTCTACTGTTTCACAATTTGAAGACCTACCCAACAGTGCACGTGGAGAGCAAAGGGCATGCCGTTTTGTTGTGCAGGTTTGCTACCGATGGGTGCTGCCGCATGACGCGCAGTTTGTTCCCCATACTAGGTAGGCTGCAGCTTTAACTTCAGAAACAAAAGGGAAACATCGCCCGATTGAAACATCACAAAGTATTTCAACTGCACGGCATTCAGATATATATTTCAAAATAAATCGAAATAAAATTAATAAATATATTTTAGGTAAGTAAGAAGTAACCTCCATTATGCGCTAATATTAGACTTTTTATACCCGGTACTCGAAGAGTAAATAGGATATATTGTATTTGTGCGAATAACGGTTGTTTGTAACGCACAGAAGGAAATGTTTCCGCCCCATAAAGTATATATATTCTTGATCAGCACCAATAGCCGAGTCGATAGAACCATGTCTGTCTGTCTGTCTGTCTGTCTGTCTGTCCGTCTGTCCGCCCACCCCGTCCCGCAGCTTATATTTGTTTTTTGCACATTCTCTCATTCACAATCTGCTTCGCGCAGACACGTCTCTGCCTCTGCAGCGTCTCTGCCCTGACTCTGCAGTGGGTGGCTCTAGGGGAGGGTGGCGAGCTAAAGGAGCGTGTTGGCGTGAGTAGTGTTTCTGATGTAGATGACAGATAAAGAAAATATGTAAAATTTGACAAATAGCCGCTAAGGTGCTGATGAAGTGCCGGGTATAAAAGTTGTGACGCGTAAGAAGCGTCTCACTCGTCCCTTCTCGTTGCTAGTAGTTTAAGCTGTAGAAGTTGTAGTTGCAGTAGAGGCAACAACTTAAAGCAAAGCTTTCATTGTGCAATTTATATTTGCAAGTCAAAAATTAAAGTACATCCTCAAGTCGTGGTTGTTTGTGTCTCTGTTTTTTTCATAATTTTCCCTGCCATGCCCCGTGGGCACATTTTCCATGCAGCTTGCTGAAAGGAAAGTGAAGTGAAGTTGCCACATGGTTGAGGGTGTGGCATGTGAGGCAATGATGCAGCAATGAGGAAGAGTGGAAAATCCATCAAGCATCTTGCCAGCCCCCCGACGATGGATGCGTGGCGGAAGTCTTTCTTTGCTTTGCTTCCTTTTCTCACTCTTTTCATGCCTCTCCCTGCTCTCCTTATCTCGTCCTCCCTGCCAGTGTCTTTCGCTCACTCTCTCAAGTGACTTTCGCTGATTGATTGGGTGGCGGTTGTGCTGGTGGCTTGTGGCTGTGGTGACCCCGATGGGGCACTTAATTAGAGACACACGCACGCACCGCACACCGCACACCGCACACAACACACAGGGCGAAGGACAAGCAGAGCAACTGCAACTGCAACTGCAACAAGAAAAGTAATGTGCAGCTGCAACATAACTTTAATGGGGTAAACAGAAGGAAGGCCATGCCTACTCTAAACACTCCATGTCCCATGCTCCATGCTGCATGCCCCAATGCCAGCCTCGAGTGTCGAGTGGCTGCGTGGCTCCATGGCTGCATGCCTGCATGGCGCGTGTGCAACAGAAGCTGCAGCAGAAACAGCAGCCACAACAGAAACGCATTGCGATAATTATATGCTGAAATGCTGAGGCGGGGAGGCAGCAACAACCCCAGGCAGGCAGGCAGCACACAAAGTGTTGCATGTTCTTCTATCATATTTACAATTTATGTGTCGCCAATTCACTCAGCCTCCGAGACACCCAACTCCCCGAACTCCATTTGCAACAGCCGGAGATCGCCGGAGTCCCTGTGCCCTCGTCCAGATCCATCCAACCATCGGATGATGCACGAGTGCGAACAAGTAATTAGAAAACATATCTCGAATTTTGCATTCGCCTCTTCCGTTTGTGCAACTCCAGAGTGTGGCTGCAGCTGCTTCCCCATTTCCCATTCCCCATTCCCCCACCTTAAGAGATTCCTTAGCGTCTACTTCTTTGGAGTTTCTCTGGGAGATGCCTTCTCAGAATTTCCCTTCAAGTTTCCCCAACTAATCTGAAATTATCTTTCTTGATACTTTAATAGAGATCCTCCAGGGGATCCAGCTCTCCAAACACTGAGAGTTGAACCAATTAAGAACCGTGTCCCAGTCCTACATATATCCTTCAGCAACCCTTCCATGCAAATGTGTGTGTGTCCGAGTGGCTGTTCCCCTTGTTTTCCTTCTTTTTCTCTTACTCGATCTGCTTTTGCTTCTGGTTATTCGCCTTGTTGTCACTCGCTTTCGTTGATTGTTCGGTTGGGTGCATTGACTTGGCCGTGTCCGTGTCCGTGTCCGTGTCCTGCCTCTGCTCCTTTCTTCGCATTGTCAACAAGTGCGAGTGAAGCGGACGTTCCAAAGTGAAAGGATGCACCAAAATGCACCATCACTGAGGAGTGTGTGTGTAGAAATGGGGCAGATCCATGCTAGTTTCCCCAGCTGCATCTTTATATCCTTCAACAGAATATTTGCCTGCAGTTTAACCTCCCCCTCTGTTTTCCACATTTTTGTTTCATTTCCTTGCCAGCAAGAAAGTAAAATGAAAACATCAGGAAGGGTGCAGTGCAGTGGGGTTTGTTTTTTGTTGTCCGCTTAGATACTGCAGCGGGGATAAAGGTGAAACCATGATGTGCGCTATCTCGCATCCATCCTATGCATATCCTCAACCCATTCAGCCAAGGCCCCCGCCCTGGCCCCTCTCTCGTGATAAGCTTCATTGGATGTGCTGCATGTTCATTGCTTTTCCTGCTCGTCTCTGGATTCTGGTATCCAGGTCTCTGGCGGCATTCTCTCTTGCTGCCTTCATGCTAAAGTGTCGTTTTCATTTGTGAACATTTTGTCAATTTCTACGCTTTCACTTTTCGCACAAAAACAGAAACATACACTCTTAGACTCACCTTTCTATCCACTTTGTCCCCCAGCCACACAGCGTTGGCTTTGTCTTTTGCGTTCGATTTTCAAGCGTTGACTTGCTTTGTATTTTTGGAGAAAACTTTAAAAACCGAAGTCCCCCAAAATCGTCAAAAGATTTTCAGGTGAGTAAAGCAACATTTTGGGCTTGCTTCAGTAATATATATTCCCTTCCATTTAGTGAAGGATCAATCATGCCTGTGCAAGCTAAAAATATTCTACGACTTATTCGCCAGACCCTCGGCAATCTGATCAAGATCTTCCGTCGTGGCAACTGCCAGGGAGACCCCGATCGCCATTATTATGTCTCATTCAAGGCTCAGAAGGATGACGAGCAACTGTATCGCTCCAGTGAGTGCTTCAGCCTGGATGGCTTCGACAGCGATGAAAGCGATGACATAAAACTCTTCAGCATTATCAATAGTCAGACGCGCATTCCATTTTAAACAAACAGAAACAAGACACAGGGGCAAAGGGGACAAAGGGCGGGGCTGGTTTAATTAAATTATTTTACATGTTATTTATTATGTTACGTTGATCTGAGAAAACAAAATTGTTTTATTTCGATTTGGTGTTTGGGCATTGAAATTGTGGGTCTTGCCTGGAGCTTTCATGGAATTGTGTGTTGGTTTGTGGCAAAATTCTTAAAGTCCAAGTGCAACTCGAAAGCTATTTTCCTGGCTCTGCTCTGAGAATTGAAGTGGCAAGCCTACCCCTAAGCCAATTAGTAATTAAAAACCCAGGAAAAACTTCTATTTAATGAGTCTCTTATGTATCCTAAGGATCTTTTTGGTGTTGTAGGTTGAGGCT